TTTTTAAATAAACGATTTCACCGATTTACACGCGTTTTCCCTTGACCAAATTTTGACCGTATCACCCTTTAGTACTATCTTCAGCCCCAAGCTAATCGATGCGCTCCTCGAAACATTGGAAAATCCACGAACCCTTCATTTTATTTGTCAAACTTTCATAGCTAATCAAAACAAACATAATGTAGTACTAGAATTTCGATTAGAATGGGGTACGTTAATCGATTTGCTTGAGTTTCCACCGGTTGGTAACACTTCCTTCAGCAAAAAGCAAATAGATCTGCACGGCAAGAGTGCACAATGTGGACTGTCACTAGGAACAGCTATTTTATATTCGCAACTGAATATTTTACGTACCTACCAATCTAATCACCAAGAAGGAAAAACTCCAATTTAAAACCATGTGGAATTTAACAACAACAACTGAAAATGATGACTCAGAACTGTTTTTTTTATTGAATATGTATCATACTGTCGCTCAGTAACGCACACGTGTCTCGAGAACAGGGAGTTGAAATATAATTACATGCGATGAAGTAAACTAATTATCTTCGTAAATGGCAGTTTCTCAGCCTGATTTCATTATTTACAACCATCATAATGTATCCGGTCTACGCCATCTACACATTACAGTCAACGTATGTATTGATTACCTTGGACATCATCAACAAAAACAGTACGATAGAATCCCCCCCCCCTCCTCCTCCTCCAAAGGTGGCGTACACTCTTTCAACGAGAATTAACAACAAATAACCTTTAACGTAGGGTAGAGAACGGCTTCAGCTTCCCCTCCACCAAGACCCTATTCCAAGCATGGGGTAAACAGAGCCCAATAAGAGACGCGCGGAGAGAATAAAACTAAATCGAGTTGCACGGCCAACTAAGTTATTTTGTTTGCAATGTTTGGCAACCCGTAGTTTTGTGTAAACTTCTTTTTAATTTAAGCGACTATCGTCTGCTTCAGCGTCACGGTGAAACGAATACTATTTTGACCGAATACTTTTGTAGTCATTATTTGGAAAATTCCATTGTAATACACGGCATCCTTCTGTAAAAATACACCGAATAAAATGTGACAACATGTTAGTTTATGGTTTCCCAAAGATAGCGTCGTCAGGGAAAAGTGGTTTCAATTCTGTCGGTTTCTTCCCGATCAAAGCATAACGAAATACTCTCGATTATGTAGCGTAAGAAATCTTCCATATTGATGTATTATAATTCAGATAGATTTCAATTACGATTTAGATTTATCCGTGGCATTGGATAGCGGAAAACTATTATAAATCTCAAACATTAAATTTCAACCTCAATCACAATACTTCCCACGCTTTACCTCGTGCAGCACTACTGTTTATTATCATTGCTCGATTGGAACCGCTTTTGACGGTTCGATTGAAACTTTTGGTTTCAGTCTTCGTGCGTCTTTTACTTAACGGGGGGGGGAATCATTTAAAGGGTGGAACGATCAAAAAGTAGTAACCTCAAATATTGTGTAATTATTTTTAGCGTGCACTTGCAACAATAACAATCGTTGATTTTCTAAAGCGTGTGTCTACAAAATCTCTTGTCATTTTTGGTTTTGGAATTTTGCATTCAGTTTTTAACATGGCTACCGTTATAGACGTTAAATTCAAATCATTCTTTGTGAAAGCTGATTTTAAACGGATTCCTGGTCAAGAATTGTATACTGCAACAATAACAGAACTAGTTCAGGACAACTTAGGCAAACAAATCAGATGATACTTACCTTACCAATAAGGCCTTGTTGTCCTCTGCTGTCCGAAGAAGTCGTCTCCACTCATCTCGATCCATAGCCACACGTCACCAGCCTCGTAGTCTACGAAGGGTCCGCAGGTCGCCTTCTACTTGATCGATCCACCTTGAACCATTTTCACTGGGTCGTCGTGCGGCATTCTTACGACGTTCCTAGCCCACCGTAGTCGCTCAATTTTTGCAATATGGACGATGGATGGTTCTCCCAGCAGCTGGTGCAATGCGTGGTTCATTCGCCTCCTCCACGATCCGCCATCCTTCTGCACTCCACCGTAGATGGTACGCAACACCTTCCGTTAGAAAACACCACGTTGGTCCTTCACGAGCATAGTCCAGGTTTGGTGGCCGTAGACGACCACCGGTATAATCAGCGTCTTGTAGACAGTCAACTTCGTGCGGCGGCGAATTTCATTCGACCGAAGCGTCCTCCGAAGTCCAAAGTAGGCACGATTCCCTGCCATAATGCGTCTATGAATTTCTCTGCTGGTATCATTTTCGGCGGCCACCAGTGAGCCCAAATACACGAACTCATCGACCGCCTCGATTTCGTCACCGTCAATCTGAACTCCGAGTGGGAGGCTAACATTGTCTTCCCTAGAACCTCTTCCTTGCAAGTATTTTGTCTTTGATGCGCAGTCCAATCCTCCTAGCTTCAGCCTTCAATCTGATGTGCGCCGTTGTCTCAAAGTTCCGTGCCATAATGTCGATGTCATCGGCGAGGTCAAGAAGCTGGATGGACTTCCTGAAGATTGTGCCACTCGTGTCTATCCCAGCTCTTCTGATCACACCTTCTAACGCGATGTTGAATAGCAGACACGAAAGTCCATCATATTTCCGTAATCCCCTTAGAGATTCAAAGGTACTCGAGAGAGTCCCCAATACTCGAACAACGCCCATCACTCGATCCATCGTCGCCTCGACCAATCACGTTAGTTTATCCGCAAATCCGTACTCGTGCATAATCTGCCATAGCTGATTTCGTCGTAAATCGATGAACAAATGATGTGCGGGCACGTTGTATTCGCGGTATTTCTGCAGAACCTGCCGAATCGCGAAAATTTGGTCCGTGGTAGCGCGGGCACCCATGAATCCCACCAGGTATTGCCCCACGAACGCTCTTGCAAATGGTGACAGACGGCGGCATAGAATTTGGGAGAGTACCTTGTAGGCGGCGCTCAGCAGTGTGATCGCACGGTAGTTGCAGCAATCCAACTTGTCGCCCTTTTTGTAGATTGGGCATACGACACCTTCCATCCACTCCTCCGGTAATATCTCCTCCTCCCAAATCTTGGCAATTGCCCAGTGCAGCGCTCTAGCCAGTGCTTCACCACCGTATTTTAATAGCTCACTTGGTAGTTGGTCTACACCAGTTGCTTTGTTGTTCTTCAGCCGACCGATCTCCTCCTCAACTTCTTGAAGATCAGGGGCCGGTAGCCTGTCGTCTTCTGCGCGTGCTCCAAGGTCTGTTGCCGTGCCACCTTCGTTTTCTGCTGCTTCACCGTTGAGGTGCTCGTCATAGTACTGCTTCCACCTCTCAATCACCTCACACTCGTTCGTGAGAAGGTTACCGTCCAAGCCCTTGCACATATCGGCTTGCGGCACGTAGCCTTTGCGCGAACTATTTAGCTTCTCGTAGAACTTCCGTGTGTCGTTTATGCGGTACACATTTTCCACCGCCTCACGATCTCGGTCTTCCTGCTGACGCTTCTTCCTTCGGAAAACCGATTTTTGTCTGTATCGATCCACATTCAATCTCCTGCGGTGCATTCTCTCCTCTCGTGCATTCTTCTCCTCTACTAACAGTTTGCATTCGCCGTCAAACCAGTCATTTCTTCGGTCCGGGATTGTAGTACCTAGTGCCGCTGCAGCAGTACTACCTATGGCGGAACGGATGTCCCTCCAGCCATGTTCAAGAGAAGCTGCGCCAAGCTGCTCTTCCGTGGGTAGTGCAACTTCCAGCTGCTGCGCGTAGTCCTGGGTAACTTCGGCGTCCCGTAGTTGCTCAATGTTAGATCGCGGCGTTCGACTTCGACGGGTGTTATGCACCGTCAAGAGTTTTGAGCGCAGGCATACTGCAACTAGTCGATAATGTCGGAGAAGAATTTCCCGTCGATTAGAACGTCATCGATTTGGTATTCTGTGTGTAGGTCAGGTGATCTCCAGATGGTTTTGTGGATATCCTTGCGGGGGGAAAAAGGTACTTCAAACTGCCATTCCTCGAGAGGCTGCAAAGTTCACGCATCGTTTGCCGTTGTCGTTTGATATGGAATGCAGGCTGTTTGGCCCGATTGCCGGTCTATACATTGCCTTCCGTCCTACCTGAGCGTTCATGTCGCCGATGACGATTTTCCAGCTGCGCATAGAACGCTTCTTTCTCGTCGTCGGGTCTCCCTTCGTGTGGGCAGTGCACGTTGATGATGCTGTAGTTGAAGAAACGGCCCTTAATCCTCTATCACGCGTTGGCGCATCTTACCCAGCACTACAAAGCCGGCTCCCAGCTCGTTGGTGGTGCCACAGCTCTTATAGAAAGTAGCCGCTCGATGCCCGCTTTTCTATACCTTTTGTCCCGTCTAGTAAAGTTCCTACAGTGCTACGACTTCGAAGTTGCGTGGTTGAAGTTCGTCATAGATTAACCTATCGCAGCCTGGGAAGCCGAGCGATTTGCAGTTCCATGTTCCGAGTTTCTAATCATAGTCCTTATTACGTCGCGTAGGTCTGTGCCGATTGTCCCGATCCGTATTTCTTTCTTCAGTATTTGCAACTTTATGTTTTTTTCCTGGTGGTTCCGTGGTCAGGGCTTCATAAATAACGTAAAATACATGATTAATTTATTAACATTATTCTTCTACACTTAATTTTGTGTGACTACTTTTTGCTCGTTCCACCCTTTACAGCGTTTAATGTTAGCTGTATGATGCTTCAAATCATAGAGCATATTTTGGATAAATTTCTGATAAATTTTCATTAGAAAAACAGCGTGCTTGGCATAGGGTTTGGTGGGGGGGGGAGGGGCTGAAGTCGTTATCTTCCCTAAATTAGTGCCTATTTTTTTGTTAATTCTCGTTGAAAGAGCACGTCACCTTTGTTCAATTTGGGTAAATGGGAGCCAACCACAAAAAAACATTGGCTTCGTTCGAGGCTTTTGCTAGCTGTTTGTTTCACTAATGTGTAACCGTAAGGGATTGGATAAATTATAATGCTTTTTTTCGTTTCACTTCTTTTTTTCACAGCCGGAGGATTTCACGAGCACGATCTCCGTAAAATAACAACCAACGATGTGTGGTTATCCAAGTTCCTGGAGAACAATGATCTCGACATGAAGAAATCCCTCGAACAGCTTTGGGAGACGTGCGTGTGGCGAAAGACCGAAAACATCAATGGTAAGTGTGAGATAACTTCCTGCTGCTTGGCAGTGAATCAAACGAGCATGAGCATGAGTCGGACTCTTTCAGAACTCTGCGAGGACAACATTCGGTTAGACTACGTCGAAGATGGGATCATGTTTGCACAGGGGAAGGACCTCGACGGCAAAACGGTATTCATTTACCGATCGAGGCTTTATACGCGAGGCTCCCGCAATCTGGACGAGATGAAACGAGTGTTCCTGTACTGGCTGGAACGGTGCATACGTGAGGCCAACGATGACTACATCACCTTCATGTTCGAACTTACCGACGCCGGACTCAGTAACGTAGATATGGACTTTACGAAGTATATTATCACTACGTTGAAAAGCTACTACCCGTATTCGCTGAACTACATCCTGGTGTACGATCTTCCGTGGATTCTGAATGGTAAGCTTTTCGAAGGAATTTAGAAGACTGGTGGAAAGTCCTTTGATCGAATGCCTAGCGAAATTAGTATTCCGTTCCTTTTGATTTTTATGATTCGGTTTCAAGACCAGGGTGTCGACGCAACGAAGAAAACAAAATTCCCTGATATTTCCTGATTTTCCAGCAATTTAAAAAAAAATCCAGGTGCTGTGTCTACTTGTAACACAACCCCATTAGGTATTACTTTCCCGAGATATATAATAGACAATAACACATGGCCCTCTAACCCAGTACATTTTCAAATTGAATAAATCGTTCGATACATTTTATAGAATGCAAAAAAGACAAAAATCGGGAGGAACCGCATTTTTTTAATACACACATTTTAAACGTGGTAAACGAATGGACCGCAGAAATCAACTCCGGTATTCAGGAACGGTAAGGTTGGTGTTACTCGAACCGATGGTAAGTCTCCCATGATCTGCTCGTTGAAACTTGGACGGTTGCGGAAGCAGGTGATGCATTCGTGCGTGACTTTTCGTACGACATCACGCAGCCGGAGAGGCCAATACTTAGCACGAACGGTGGCTATGAGGAGCGTAGGTCCAGCGTACAGATGACTAAAGTGATATTACCAAACGACTAGAAGTGAACGGATGCTTGTTATCCAGGATCATAGGCTACTTTTGAGCATACGGTATCGCTGCGTTGTTGAGGTGACCTCTCGTGCGAAGAACACCATTTACTAGCACTGGAGATAGTGCCTTCGGCTTTGACGTAGACTTCAGTTGACCGGTGGTGCGGACGGAGTGCAGATCTTCCACGAACGATTCTTGCTGGGCAAGTTTGACCAAATTGACCAGCGCGTTTTCCAATTCAGCCGTAGATAGGGGTCAGGATCTCTTGGTTTCTTGTTTATGCTTCTTAGTGCTGCCACCACATCGTGTGTTCCACCAGCTCCATTGCTGGCATTCCACGGGATATGACATCTACTGGATTCTCGATGCCTGGAACGTGTCTCCATATTCCGTAAGCAGTGATTTGCTGGATTTCAGCCACAAGGTTGTCAACCAATTTCTTCAAGCGAGACGGCGATGCGGCCAACCAGTGGACGACAATCGTTAAGTCACTCCAGAAGAATATACGGGCTTTGATTTGTAGACTGCTTTCCACCTTTTCAAACAAGTGGCTCAGGAGAAGTGCTCCGCAGAGCTCGAGACGAGGCAAGCGAACAGTAGGGTCAAGTTTCTCGGTTCCCTTCGGTGCGACTTTGGACTTCGCTGTGAGCAAATGCACCGATACATTTCCGCTAGACGACATTGTACGGATATATATGCAAGCGCCGTATGCGCTTTCGGAAGCGTTGCTGAACCCATGTAGCTCAACGTTGGCAAGATCTAGACAGGAAGCAGCCCACCGTGGGGCGGTGAATGAATCGAGTACTTCAAGGCCGCTCCGGAAGGACTTCCAGGAAGTGTTGTTGCTGGTCATTCAGTGGGTTATCCCATGAAACTTTCGCCCTGCACAACTCCTCGAACAAGAGCTATTGGCTTGGAATTGGAGGATCCAGCTACGGGTGCGGTGACGAAAGTTTGCGAGTGCGAGGCAGAGGAATTGTTAAATTTGCAACTAAGGGCTGACTTTGAGGAATAGTGGGTTTAGTGGGTTGCGATTGCGAGTTATCTTGTCCTTGACTGGAACCGTTGCCTACTGGGCGCAAATGCAGCATCGTATGGTGCTTTTGACCACAAACACGACAAGCAGAGCTAGGACAATCCCGTACCAAATGGGAAGAGGAAAGGCATGACTGATTCAAGCCTTTGGGAAGGATTCATGTTATTAAAGGAATCACATTTGAAAGGAGAGTGGATAGGTTTTTGACAGTGCGGACAAGTTTTCTTTTGCGTCGTGGTTGTTGTGAGTGATCCCGCTGTGCATTGAAATTGGCAACAAAAGACTCTATATTGGCCTTGGAATCAAAGTACCCTCGCTCAGTCTTGCTTAGTTCGCGCCATGACGCCATGCTGTTGTCTATTTCAGGTATAATTCCAAATCGCAAACCCAATCAAATTCCCTACCGGATCCACAATAGCCGATTTATCCTCCGACGCTGATGGATTGATGCAACACAAAGGTGATACCAATGCCGCTTGTGGTATAATCACCACACAATAGGTCACTTTCTTCGCCGATTCGGCCACTTAAAACGCACAAATCCGGCTCGAAGGACCATTAAATGTAGGGGAGCTGATTCTCCGGACTAGTGGTGGACTCGCGACGGATAGTGTCCTTCGGGTGTGGCTTTAACCGTAGCCAACAATGTGAACTATTGATGATACGCGGTACACTGAACTACTATACTCGGAACTTTATTTACTGCGATAGAGTTTTAGATGTACACTCGTCGATAGCTTTATTGTACTGATTTTATATAAATATGAGTGCCCTAATTCAACTGGCGCAAATTCATTTAGGGTACATTTTATAATTATTAGAAGAACCCTAACAGGCTTGCTTAATCGCTTAAAGTGTTCAAGCAAGTTCATGATCCGTTTAAATACAAGAACATGTCCTTGGCATGGCAATTTTCTCACCCTTAGAAGTTCTTTTCTGACTGCCTCCGAACTCAACCCAAGGGGTAAAATTCATCCAGATCTCCTCCATCTTCATGTTGACCCGCAAATTTCGTCCTACTTCCCTACATTTGCATCCGTCAAAAAGCTTTATAACTAAAATAAAGCCAATATTGTTTTGAATATTCAAGAGCTATTGCAATATGAAAATACTGATTCAAAAAAAAAATGGAGGCGAACCAGCCCAAGGCTGAAAGCCTCCCTAATAAAGATAAATTAATTAATTAATGATTCGAAAAAAATGATTTAGTATATTGCTTGATCTTTGGCATCTCTTGATAGGTAATCGGAGATAACTAATTAAGGGAAGGATTCCCTCAGTATGGATAAAATACTGTAGTCTGGGTCCACTTTAGGCCATTTTTAATGTTTGATGTCTACTTTTAGAAAAAGAATGCTTTACAAGTTTGTACGGCATACGATCAAACGACCCTGTATTCTACAATTCAAATTTAAATAATAATGATTATGCAAATCTATTTTAGCCACTTTCCAAATCATCAAAAGACTCCTACCCGCAAAAGCCGTAGATAGATTAAGAAATATCAACAACAAAAACATCCGGGACTACATCGACGAGGACAACATGCTGGCCCCATGGGGTGGCAAAAATGAGTACGAGTTCGAATTCATCCCGGAGAAACGCCAGCGAGAGCCTTCGCTACTTAACCACAACAACAACAACAACAACAACTGCATCAATCACAATAACAATAACATCAAAAAGGTGAGTTTTTCCAACCCATTAAATTATTTTCACGGTTCGCTCGCAATCCAAATTGCGTCGTCGGCGTCGTTCCAAATTTAGGTACACATGCAATGCGTTAAAAGTCCCTTTCGCAGAGCATTCGCTTCGGTAAATCAATTCCAGGAGAAAAGATTGAACGGAACTTTATTTCACGACATTAATTCCGTTTCGTTTCATTTTTTGTTGTTTCCCTCGCCGGAAACAAGTTTTCATGCTGGCTGTGAATGGAGACAATTTCCGAAACTGTAATCTGCTTGGTGAAGGGTTTCTCACACATACCGCACATCGATTTATGTTGATTTGCGATCTGAACAAGCTGATAGCTGGGGAAAAGTTTTACGGAACATAAACTTTATTAACATAGGACCTATGGATATGATTCATCTCCATTTCAAGTTCAATCCCCTCGACAAAGGGTGGCATTTTTTTTAACTAGAAAAGTGGCCAGTTTCAGTTTTTGCTAAGTCCTTTAAATGTGGGAATCCAAATTCTTGATTTTGCAAGCTGGTGTTATTTGAAACTGTGGCTGCGCTCCTGCACTTATCTTTGTTAAATCGCTGCTCATCTCTCCAGTTACGTTGCAGCTCCGAAAGTATTTGCGTCACTGTCCTGCTGACGGTATTCCAGGTGCCTTCCTCTCGATACCTCCTTTCTCACTGTTTCAAATCTAGGACATTCGATGACCATGTGCTCCGATGTTTCGTCCATGTTTCCACACTCCGGACAAAGTGATGACCTTGCGTGTCCAAACCGGTGTAGGGAATCTATGACAAAAGGTCGAAGGGAAAAAGGGCGAATGGAAAAAAGGACGAAGGATAAAAGATCTAATCGACAACATGTCAAATTGAACATAGAGGGGAAAAACTACAAGGGACAGCCCTATGGGGTAGTACGCAATGGTGACGTAGGACTATGCGGTCTTATATAATAAATGTTATTTGTTAACTACAGCAGGACCTTGCCTTTTGTGTAGGAATAGAAATTTGAGCGGGGTTCTCTCTGTTTATACTCTTTAGTATGACTATGATTGCTCTGAAAAGAATCTTTTGATATGAATTTTAGTTTAACTCTTTTGGAAAATATTGGTGGCCATATTTGGCCACATTGGCTGATGCAAAATTAGAAATTTTCGCTCCACAGTGTTCAAACGGTTTCAAATCGGGTCTTGATTAGCCTCCGAAAGTTTAAACTCATTTGATAAGAAACTGACTTGGCACAAACCATTTGAAGTGTATATGGAAATTACTATGGGAAAACAAAACTTTTTGTTCATTGACTTTTAGCCTCTTAACATATTGTAGGGGTAAGAGGGACATAGTGAGCATCCCGTGCACCAGCTTGGACTTCCGGCCGTTCGGAACAAATTGATCGGTGGTAGGATCAATATCATAATGATATTGGACCTACTATCAGTTGATTTGTTTCATGCACCTAGAGATCCAGAGCCAAAGTGCGGGATGTTCACTATGCCCCACCTGCTCATTGTGCCCCTTTTACCCCTACTGTTAACAAATTCTATTGCTATTCTTAGGGGCTGTTCATAAACTACGTAGACAGCTTAGGAGGGGGGAGGGTTGGCAATCATCCACGGCCCATACAAGTTTAATTTTTTTGTATGGACAATTGTCTACGCATGGAGGGGAGGGGGGGGGGTCAAGAATCCCAAAAAACTGTCTACGTAGTTAATGAACACCCTCTTATGAGAATTTTTATCAGCTACAACTTTGCAGAAAATTCTTTTTCAGCCAAACGTCAAATTAAATAGTTAATAATTGTTTAAGAGATTAATAATCTTATGGCAAGATTAAGCAACTGTATTGTGGGCAACACTGTATTCTTCAGTGTGACATAGTAGCCATGATTTTTGTCCTCTATTCTTCGCGCCATTAACACCAATGTTGCCTGCTGAATAGTTGATTGAGCATAATCTTAAGACATCAGTGACTTGAATCATTAATAACTTGTGTTCCTTACATTTAACGAAAACGAAAACTGATCTTCAACAAAGTTGTAGCTGAGAAAATTTTCTAAAGTAGAGTGAATTCTGAGATAGATATGAACCGAAATTATGGTTTCTCCATAGTAATTCCCAAATAAACTTCAAATAGTTTGTGCCAAGTCAGTTTCTCACTAAATGAGTTCAAATTTTGGGGGGCTAATCAGGGCCCAATTTGGAACCGTTTGAGTGCTGTGGAGCAAAAATTTCAAATTTTGCATCAGTTTAGTCTCTCGTGAAGATAAATTGGTGGCCCTGAAAAGGGTCGTTTGTGTAAATTCAATCAGCGATTCAACCGGTTCAGATGTGACAGGTGAACGGAAATGAGCGGCACGCTGAAGGTAACAAACAGTTTGCTACCAAGTACCCGAATTTTCCGGTCCATGAATAGTTTGCTGTTTCTCCGCTTTCTCTGGTGAGTTCGGCTGGTCTTCTGCTTCTGATCGTACACAAAAGCCTTTATTAGAGCAGCAATTTGCTGTTTGCAATTGCATGAACCAGAAATGGCAGGCGGACGGCTTCCTCTCGAACAGTTACCCACAAAAGACTTCATAAGAGCGGCAATTTTATGCCTGGAAATTAGATATGGGCGATCCGCTCCCAAGCTGTTCTATAGAGCCGAGTCTCTAAAGTGAGCTGATGACCCCCGCTTAATTTTTTAGGAACCGCAGCTTATCAGCTCACTGGTATTACAAGTCTAAACCATTCAATCCATCACTCATAGCGGAACTTTTCAAAAAAGGACTCATTACACCACTTACACATTGAACAGTCACCGCGTAAACCAAGACGTGCGCGTAATACAACATGTGCCTACTCATCTCACTGCGTCCTAGCAAGAAGTACGGTCGACTTGTTTCGCGCTCCGTTAATTTGGAAGTTTTCTCGCTATTATCTGACGTAAATAATCAGTTTTTTCTCGCTTAGTGATTCCTGGCATAATTCCCGATAAATTTATCAAAAAGTGAGTTTTTTTCTGAGAAGAAAGTGTGTTTTCGGCATCATCGGAAGGAAAATTGTTTTTGCGATTGCCAATTCACCAACCATTTTGCGCACCATCGGTGCGTGGTCACGCATACCTGTGCACACGGATCATCGTCATCGAGTGTTAGCATCTGCCTCCACATTCAAACCGCTTATCCATCTCGTGTGTTCAGCTGAGTGCCGAGCTTCATACAAGCACACACCAACGAAGACCGCCCGCACACGCGGATCGAAGATCATCAAAGCTGCGCATCGCTCCGCTGCTGCTGTGTAAACGCTCGGTGGTAGTAGTATAGGATTATCAGATAAGTTTTTGTTCTTGTTTCTTCCTTTCTCCCATCAGTTAAATTTTAAGTTTGTGTTTCTGTGTTTGTATTTTTTTTTTCTCGTGTATTGTGTCCGAGTAATTTTGATTATCGTTGCAGTGGTAGAGCGTTTTTCGCTCCCACTAGTACGGCAAAATGGACATTTTGTCGGAAGACGAAATGGACGTTTTGTCGGAAGATGACACCACTTTGCCACGCGATAGCAAGAAGGGTCGAAAACGTCTGTCATCCCAGAAATCAGATGATGCCATCCCTGCTTCGTCATCTCAGTCTGGTAATGGACAGGGACAGATAAGCCCCCGATCGCGAGCCTACCCAGAAGACTCGACTGGCCCATGGGTTGTTTACTTTCAGCCCAAAAAGAAACCTTTGAATGTAATGCAAATTACTAATGATCTGACGAAGCGGTTCTCGGCCGTGACCGAAATCTCGAAGGTGAGGTACAATAAACTTCGCGTTGTCGTCTCTAACCTGAAACAAGCTAACGAGATTGCTGCCTCCCAGCTCTTTACACTAGAGTATAGAGTGTACATCCCAGCTCGTAATGTGGAGATCGAAGGTGTGGTCACCGAAGCGAGTCTGACCCCCGAGATCTTGGCGAAGCAAGCGGTTGGCCGTTTCAAGAACCCCTTGCTTCCCACGGTTGAGATACTAGAAGTCCAGAAGCTGAACTCAGTATCTTTCAGCGAGGGTAAAAAGAGCTTTACCCCCACAGACTCGTTTCGGGTGACCTTTTCTGGTTCAGCCCTTCCTCACTACATCGAGTTGGGAAAACTTCGGCTACCTGTGCGTTTGTTTGTTCCTCGGGTCATGAACTGCCAAAATTGCAAACAGTTGGGACATACGGCCTCTCACTGTGGCAGCAAGGCACGCTGTTCCAAATGCGGGGAGAACTTCGGCTACCTGTGCGTTTGTTTGTTCCTCGGGTCATGAACTGCCAAAATTTCAAACAGTTGGGACATACGGCCTCTCACTGTGGCAGCAAGGCACGCTGTTCCAAATGCGGGGAGGATGGCGCCTGCACAGTCACTGCACCAAAATGCGTGTACTGTAAGGGAACTCCTCATGGTCTCTCATCGTGCCCGGCGTACAAACAACGCGGGGAGAAACTAGAACGCTCTCTTAAGGAGCGTTCCAGGCAGTCTTTTGCAGCAATGCTAAAAACAGCCACACCATCAACCAACGACAAAAATCCCTTTGCTGTTTTGTCTGATGACGAGTCTGACTCTGACTTGGCTGAGGAGGGAGTTTCTTTCAGTTTTCCGGAAGGTTCTGCACGGAAACGAAAACGCATCCGTTCGCGGAAAGTTGCAGATAAGGAACCCCAAATCAGCTTGCCCAAATCAAGGAGTGATGGAAAAAAGGAAGTTTCAACTCCTCCTGGTTTCCGCAGAACTGACTATAACCAGAACTTTCCATCTCTCCCGGGGACATCAAAAACCCCTGATGGCCCATTTTTAAGAACAGAAGCCCCTTCTTCATCCGGGTTGTTCTCATTTGATAAAATTGTGGACGATATTCTCAAGTACCTCAATATTTCTGATCCTCTCAAAAGCATTGTTCTGGCAATGCTTCCTTCTGTGAAGACCCTCTTGAAGCAATTGACATTGAAGTGGCCCCTCATTGCAGCAATCATTTCCTTCGATGGATAATTTTCCAAACGAGGTTGGGGA